CTCTCTGGTAGTTTAGGTGCAAAGTTGAATGTCTCTTCTAGAATTCACAGAACTCAACAACTTGAACCTTTCCTTGGTATCCGGTTAATGAAAAAAGAGAAAACTTGCTTGCGCTAGTAGATTCAGTCATGAGTGAAGCCCGAGTGGTCCTGTATAGATTCCCACATCGTACTCACAAAATTACATAGTGCTTTGTTATTGTATTCCTCTAATGGTATGGTGACCACTGAAAATTTGCCCACGATTTTTAGTTGAAAACTTGGATGTTCTTGTGGATTCAGTTTCTTTGTTGTTAATTTCAACTTGCTGTTCTGATTTTTTCTATGTGCTTCCAATCTGCAGTTTCTTCAATTGCACTTAGAACCAGCAAGTGGCAATACTCTGCCCGCAAGTGATAATGGGTCCATCACACAAACTTTGAGAGTTACCAACAGCCAACATGGAAAGGTATGAATCTCGGCCGTATAAATGCTTAGTTTATGTTCTGAACTTGACTGCTGCATGTCAAAAAGCGAAAGCATATCATTTCGTTTTAATTATTCCCGTCCTTTGAGAGTTACCAGTGATAACAAAATTTCCTTGTTAAGTAATTATTGTTTTTACTTTGTTCCGTCCATTCCCCTTCTGTTCCTCGTCTTGCATTATGAGATGCATATACCCCGATAGAGCCGGTCATCCGTCGGAGCTGGAGCATGGATAGAGCTAATGTTTTATTTCTTTTAAGCTTGATCCACATCTTCGCCTTTGTCGTTTCCCTTTCCCCTTCAACTTTTGGTGGATATTGTGGATAGTTAAGAAAATTCACATCCTTTTCAGAAATCGCTTGTCATGCGCATACGGATAGCTTACAAGATGAACAACAAAGATGTCTTGGAGGAAGGTCAAATCAACAAATTTCCTCCCGGTTTATGAGGTTGAGTAGTTTGCATAGATGGTAAAGACAGAGATTCAAACGGACCGTGATGTCAGTGCAGTATTTTTCTCTTTTTCATTTGCTCAGTTTGGGGTGGCATGTTATGTGGCTGTTGGGAACGATTTTTCTTCGGAGCGGGGTTTTATCGAGGGGCTCGGTACCTTCCCCGTTCCCATCCCTCGTAGGAGGTTTTATGTACATTATTACAAATTATTCCTGTACGAAATTGTGGGAATTAAATTTTGCTTTCGATGCACGAGAGGAGGATATAATGTCGAGATCTTGAGGTGCTCTTCTTACATTTTTTTTTTAGCTTGGATTTGCTCTCGATTAACGTTATTGTTTGAGATCATGGTTGTTTTTGAGCAACCAAATCAGTTTATATATATTCGATTTAAATGTAACGATTTTCATTAAATGAAGGCTTATTTTGTTTGTTGTTTTTTTTTTTTTTTTTTCTGTTGTGCTCCATTTGTTAATTTAATCCGTTTATTTCATTTATATTTAAATTGTCATGGGAAATAATTAGTTTCTTTTTTTTGTTTTCGTATTTTTCTCCTCACCCTTTTTTTCTCTAACCTGTGGGTGCAATTGTTGGCCCAAAGAAAATGCCCAATTGTTGGGTTGTTGTATTTCTAATTAGGTAGTGAAGTCATGGTTACATGAGACGGTGACATTGAAGAATCGCTTTGAAAGTGTTTTTAAAATGATTAGAAGCATTTTTAGTGAAGATGTTTTTTAAACAATTTTTAATAAAAATTCAAGTGAATCATGAAAATGTACCTTAGCGCTTTCTACAAGAAGTGCATATCTGGTGCTTTTTATGAAATCCAAAATCAATTTCATGAAAACCGTTTTTAGTCATTTTGTAATGCCATCTCCAACCAAGGGCTGGTTAGAGGGCTCGTTTTAGCCCTCTAGCCCTCCAAGATATTAATATTTTAATGAACTGGTAGTATATCTATAAATGAGTACATGAGGCACTATAGAATGATATTTTCTTGTGCCACAAACAAGTACCTACAACAGAATCTTGTTGCACGTCTTTGGGCCAAAAGAAGCCTGGAGTAGGTGTTTAAGTTTTATGTTGTTAAAAGTTTTTAAAAATATTGTTTAAGTTTCATGTTGTTAAATGTTTTTTTTATGTTGTATAATTTGTATGTTGGTTAATGTTATTTAATGTTGTTTCATGTTACTTAATTTAATTTAATGTTGTATAATGGCTTAGGAATTTATAGGAAAAAATATATAATTTAAAAAAAATATACGAAACAAATTTTGTGAAATAGAAGTTATAGGAAAAAAATAGAATTTAAAATAAAATGAAACAAATTTTGTAAAATAAAAGCTATAAAAAATAGAATTTAAAAAAAAATATGAAAAATAGAAGTTATAAGAAAAAATTTGTAAATAAAAAATAAAAATAAAACTATAAAAAAAATTCAAATGCAACGGCTAGCTGATCAGCTAGCCGTTGCATTTGAATTTTAGCTTAAGGATTCCTTCGGTTATAACCGACAGGAATAATAATTTTTCTGGCCAGCCCGGGGTTGGCTGGCTGGCTGCATGTAGCCAGCCCTCCAACCCTTTCAGATTTCGTGGAGTCCTCTCAGATTCCACGAGCCATCTGGCCTAGCCCTCGATTGGAGACGGTTTTCGGGCTATTTTCGGCCCTCTGGCCCTCTAGATCTTTCGGTTAGAGATGGCCTAAACACTTCCAAACGAGGCCTAAAGCACTTTTTGGTTCAAAGATGCTTCTAACTATGTTTGTGACAACTAATTATTATTAGTTGCCCAAGTCGTCTCATTGGTTAAGATAATGCTATGGAGACCAAATTTTTAGACCAAATTTGTTAAATCATGTGATGTGGTTGTTGACGATTAGATTATTACTTAAGTATTGATTAACGTGTTTATATCTTATTAATGATGTATCACATAATTTACAAATTTAGTCTATCTAATATTTTCCCATTTTTTAATCTAAAAATCATCGTAATCTTAACCTTTTAATACCTATAATCAAACACATGAAACGGCCTTGGATTCTCCCAATTCGCCACAAATGTTAATCACCACCTATTAACAATATAGGTGATATTAGAGAGATCAAAATTTTAGATCATCTTTTGTAGACAACATAAGTGACAGTTGATTTTTGAACTCCTTTAAATTATTAAAAAATAAGTTCAACCATTATCCGTCACATCATATAGTGTACAAAAAAAAAATGATCTAAAAAAAGAGAGGATCTTCGCTGGGTCCTCTTTGTGAGGATCCCAGGGATCCTCCAATCACATCCGTTCATGTACATTGTGCGACCAATTTGCGTCAGGTACTGTTTATATTCAATTTTAAATAAAAAAATTTACAATAATTTCTGACCGTATAATGTATGATAAACGAATATAATTTGACAATCTCTAAAATCTTCACAAAGATGATCTGACGAGAATCCTCGCTCATCTAAAAATTTGATGTTCCTAGCACCTTCCTAGCGAGGTTCAACTGTTGATTTCTGTTTGCTTTGTTTTGATTTGTATCTTGTCGAGTTGCACCGACCAGACCATCATTCAAATTCTTTTTCTTTGTACATCAGTTGGTGGTGGCATCGGGGCTACAAAATAATCATCCCTAACCAATCCAACTTCACATCTCGTGGTCCCTCTTACATCAAGTGATCGAATATTCAAGATTATTCTAATTTATCATAGATCTAAACTTAAATGTAAAAAAACAGACGCACTGCATAATACAAATTAAACTTGAAACAAAACTCATCTCATCTAAATTCGTAGGTACGTTTTAAATTTTTAAATGTTACAACACTTTCCTAGAGCAGTCACATTATTACATTAATAGAAATGCATGTAAAATTATTAGAATCAGTCGCATCTCTAATTAATTCATACTTACAAAATACAAAAAACAAAAACGGTCAGAATTAACTCACGAGCAATTGTGAACTCATCCTAAGGCTGCTCTTATATATTATGTGTTTATGACCCCACATTCCACTTGCTCTTGTTAACGTTTCAATTTTAGCAGCAGGCACACGCTCATCGATCATAAAAACCACGAGTCCCTGTCTCATGAGAGATTTTTTATTGTACTGAAAACACGATTTGATATACCAAATATGATAATATAAGTGATTTAATACTTGAGAAATAAAAATTCTAATCTCTTATATTATGATATTTGATTTACTAGGACCGTATTTCAAACATATTGAATCAAGTAAAGACACACATTATCCTCAGACAACTCAACAGTGCCAGCTAGAGTCCAAGGCTGGAACACAGTCAGCAATTACTTAGCTTTTAAGTTTTCTTATTGTAACTGATTTGTAACTAATCATAGATAAAGTTTAATTAGTTACATTAGTTAATAACTAAACTTTATTAGCTGCTGTTAGCTTCTGTGTATAAATACCTCCAATGTAAATCATTTTAATCAATGAGAAATATATTTCTAATATCAAGTACTTCCTAGGAAAGGGACTGTGACATGACTCCCCTCGATTTCCTACGCACAAGTATGCATGTGAAAAGGTTTCTGTTTCCTTTATGCTTTTCTCTTTTTCTTTTTCTGTGTATAAAGACATCGCATGGCTTGATGAGATCTCATACTTTCGAAGAAAGGACTGTTTCAAATGCTGTGGAACTTGGAAGGTAAGGTTTCACATTTTTACAACGCATTATCAACCTAACGAGAAAGATTTGGCTGTCATCGGAATATATCCCTTCCACTCGTCATGCACATAACGAGAGGATATATTCCTGGTTCTCATGTGACGAGTGCTATAAGAAGACGGTATTTTATTCCCATTCGTATGCAAGAATCCCTAACCTAACATGTGAACTCCTAGGCATCTCCAGAAAATGCTGAAATGAACGAAGCATTGGCTCTCCAAGCATAAAGTTTAAGGTAAAGTAAAAGCATTTCTCAAAGTCACACGTCTGAATCGAATTTTACTGAAAAGATAAAGTGCTTCTGCAGCATCACGGCAGGAAAGACATGGAAATTTCTGGGACAAAAGCAAAAGCCAAAACCTCTTTTTTGGAAAAACAAAAACAAAAAAATGTAAAAAAAATAGATATCATTGATATATTGAGAAGGAAAATACATATCAGAGTGTAAAATTTCATCATGTACCCTGAGATCTATCACTCCATGGCAAACCCACAGTAAGAGAGGAATTACCCACATGGCCCACATGGGTTTCTGCAGAACTTGGAAATTTACCCTTCTTAGGCCACATCCAAATCTTGGATACAGAAAAGCTATCACCTTTACTTGCACTGTTAATTTTCTTCCCCTCAGCATCTCCACCACCAACACTGTAATTACTAGAATTCCCATTTTGTCCCACTCTCCCCCTCACAAGCCTCACACTCTCACCTGCCCTTTTTGGCCTCAAAGCCACCTGCAGCTCCAAATCTGCCACCACATATTGGTACGATCCCATTGAGTAACATCTCCTTGCATCCAAATTGCTTCTGCTGGTTTCTCCCTCTACTCTCTCTCCTCCGCCGCCGCCACCACCAACTCCCTCCTCATTTGTGCTTCTAAATTTCCCAAGTCTCACAGAAAACACCATCTCACCCGCAATCTCATTATCTGCAGACTTTTGACCGGCAAGAACCCCACTTCCTCCATTCCCAAAAGAACCACCTTCTTCCATCAGATCACCAAAATCGAAAACCGGGTTTTCGATAGCAATACCTGGAGTGTAGAGGGTCCCTCTACAAAGAGGGCAAGTCGAATTAGACAACAACCATGTGTCAATGCAATCAATGTGAAAAGCATGACTACAAATTGGGAGCAATCTCAGCCGATCCTTCTCACAAAACTCACACAGACAAACTGGACAATCAAATGGTTCTTTCAGACCCTTAATCTCTTTGTAAAGGAACACAGGGAGAGCATCAATGAAAGCTTGATCCAAGCCGGAATCGTGGAGATGGAAGAGCTGCTGCAATTGTCTCTGGAAAACTTCAGAGCCAGACATTTCTGGGTATCTATTGGATCCAGATATGGATGAAGATCTATGCTTTGTGAGAAATCTAACAAGCAGGTGGAGGATTCCTGATACAAAAAATATAACAGCTAGAACAATTATGATAAATAGAACTGATGGGGCAATTTTACCCCCAGAGGATGATGACGGTGAAGAGGAAAGCAAACTTCTTTGCCTGAATTGAGCTTGATTCCAAGACATTTCAGGGTAGTGGCACACTAAATTCACCATCAAATTGTAGTATTTTCTCAGAAACCAAACACCCTACAACTTTCAAGTTCCAACCTTTTTTTTTTTTTTTAGTTAAAACCAAGAAAATCAGATTCCTTGCTTGTGTTCAGATCAAACCCAACTCATACTTTTCAGTAAACAACAGAACAAGCAACAGGCTCATTATTTTTTGTAATCCCAATAAACCCAATGCAGATTTAGTCAACAATGTGCAGAAAAATGTAAACTTTGACCCAATTCAGAAGCCTACCAACTGCCACTGGTTCTAGAAACACCACCACCTCCGTGTTTTCTGAACTTTCAGTTCAGAAATGCAACTAAACACTTTTGTTGAAGTTGAAGAATGTAAAAAGAGAAGTCAGGAGCAGTCCAGTTTGCAGTGAACCTACCTGAAAACTGGAAAATCTGCCATTAATTCGACATGTGCTTCTTGTCTTGGACTTGGACAGTGTTGCAGGTGATGAGAAATAAAAAAACCCTAAATAATTATGATTTGGGCGGTACTCATTTAGATTTGAGGTGGGGTTTTCCTTTAATTTATCTTGGAAAGTAGTCTGGTTAGCTGCAACAAAAAGAGCAAGTCCGAGGGTAAATTTGTCATTTTGGAATGCAAGGACAGAGACCTCAGACGTGTGCACATGAAGGACCAAGTTTTGGGAAAAGGATTATGGGATCCGGGAGATCTGTGATCATGTCTGTTTATCATATATCTCAAGCAGTTAGAAATTATTTTAAATTTAAAATTAAGTATAAATAGTACTTAACAAAAAGAATACATAATATATAATATACAGATACGATTACAAAATCTCCTGAATCCCAGGTAAAAAAATCTGCCGAGAATCCTTTTCCCAAGTTTTAGTGAATTTGTCACAATCTTTAGATTTTTGCCAGCTTTCTGCTACATTATGCAGGATTTTGTTGCAACTTTACTGTGCAAGTTTGGCAGCTCTCGGTTGGCTTTTACGAAAGAGAAAGACAAGACTCCTGGATTGAGGAATCTTTCCTTAAAACACATCACGGCTTATTTATAAAACTTTGCAGTTATAATCGGAATCGTTTATGTTATATATCATTATGTAAAGATAATACCTACAAAATTATACTTGTGATCGGTTGGCTTTTTCGAAGGGGATGTGTTACTTGTGATGGCAGCTCTTCAACAGGATCACTCCGTTCAGAAATATTCTAAATGATACTTGCTTGATGATTATAGCATTGCCCTAATGGAAAGTTGGTTTTAGCGGTAGGGAAACGAATAAAGTGGCACACAGATTAACACGAATGAGTCTGAGTTGTGATAATTATATTCTTTGGTTTGAAGAACCTCCTGATATAATTGTGGATATTCTCTTTGAGGATAGTAATTCCTAATTTGTTTGGTGCGGGACACTCTTTTTCCTTTCGACCAAGTTGAAATTCCCGACAAGGTTTTATCGAGGCCCACTGTATGCCACCAATCCTCATTGGTTGTACGTATTTCTATCATTAAGGAATATCGTACATTTTCTAAAAAATACCTACACAAGAATCATTTTGACACCGAACTGTATAAAAACAAAAAGACGGATTCGGTAAAAGCATTATAATTCGTCTAACTATTTGCTATAATTGATTGACCAAACGATTTTAGTTTTAATTGATTTTTATAGAGATAATCTTTATAGATTAATTTATAATATGAACAATTTTGATTACAAATACGAAAATTTGTGAATGAACTACGAAGTATTTTGAAGAACTCTTTTTAAAGAGTGAAGCTCTTCTCTTTATTAAAAACTAGTAGATGAGCACACACTCTATGTGTGTGAACAATTTCATTTTAGTTTTTGTTATTGATTAAGGAGTGTGATTAGTTTTTAAAATTTTAAAAAGAGTATGGGATAATGATGATGAGACAATTTTTCGTAATAAGTGTATATTTTTTCTTAATATTACATAATTACTATTTTGTCATAGGAAAAATAGGTATATGATTGTCATTTTGTCAAAAGGGACAAAATTAAAGCCTCTTCAACCGTCCACCTCCTCCCACGTTCTTCTCAAGTGCAACCGCTTTAGTTCATTCAAATTATCCAAAAAATATCATGATTTCACTTACCGCTTTAGTTCATTCAAACTATCAAAAAACCATCATGATTTCACTTACGTGTATAAAAAATGATGGTGTGACAATTTCTCTTAATAAGTGCAAATTTTTAATCTTATTTAAATATTTTGATACAAAATTACTATTTTACCCTTCTTATGTAAATATTGTATATCAAAAGTGAGGGCAAAATAGGAAAAAGGAGAAAAAGTTCAAATGATACAAAATTACTATTTTTCCCTCCTCATGTCAACATTGTGTATTAAAAAATGAGGGCAAAATTGGAAAAAAAGGGGGCAAAAAGTTGACAAGCTCTCCTCTTAATAAAATACTAGCATATGGGCACACAAAGTGTGAGAAAATTTTTTATTTTTTGTTTTTGAAATAGAAGGAGAGAGGAAGAGAGTGATAGAGAATGTGGAAGTGGGAAGGTTTTTTTTTTAATAAATTAGAGATATGTTATGATTACATGTAAGTGAGGCTTTGAAAAAAAAACAACAAAATTTGGTTTTGTGAAATTACATTTCTGTCCCATATTTCTTATTCATGTTCTGTTTTAATTAGAGGGTTAAACTGATAATTTCATAGAATTTTGGTTGACAATGAGTGTTTTATTAATTAGTAGAGATATAATATAATAGATGAAAAGGATGGCTTTTACCAACCATCGTGATTGGATGGTGCCCGTTTCTTTGTGGGTCCGCAAATATTTGGTCCATGGACTTTTAGTAGTCCAATGTGAGGACCTTGCAAGTTGAAATGGGGCACAAAAGCCCAATTATTAAATGCACGTGCCTAAAAGGCTAAACCCACTCTATTTTTTGTTGTTATTTTTTTATATTTTTGGTTTTTACACCATTAAAGTTGGTTTATGTATTATTTAATTTAAATAAATTTGTGTCAAGCTCTTCATTCACAAAAGTAGAACGAAAGTTATATTTGTTGCTATTTAAGTTTATACTTCAATTATGACGAGTATACAATAATTGGTATCGTTCTGATTTTCGGCTTCCTTGCATGTTAAAACACGTAAAGAAAAAAGACATCGGTGGACGACAGATTAAATTTTGTAACTAAACAACCAAATATCAGATCAACCACAGAGAAGTAGTTGATAACTTTTTTCAGTTTCAAATAAGTAAAATCATGCATCTAACAAATCAGTGCTACCAGAGGCCATAGCGATGGACATGGTGGCTGATTAATATGTCTCCAAAACTGAAGGGATAAGAACAAGCAGAGAAGCCAGTTGTTGCAACACTTATTAAAATGGGTGTGTGGTAAGTCAAAGGTTTTCTTATATTCCAACAGGCTCCATCCTCTTCAGTTATAGGCACATTGGGACCAAGGTTTTCCAGGAACACCCAGAGACCTATAAATAAGCATGTGAAGGTCTTTTGGGAATCTTCTAAATGTTTTATAGGGTCTTTTTTGTGCCTATTAAGTGTCAATTAGTGTAAGGCAAGGGCAAAAGCATGTAAGTTGCCCTTGCTATTCACTAAAAACAATACTTATCTTTGTGCAACTCCACCCGTTTGAAGAGGGCAAGGGCAAGTAAATATTTTTTATTTTTTAGGTTTTGAAAGTAAAACAATTGTAGCAAGTGGTCCTCCACCACTTGCCCTTGATTTTGTGGACTACTGGAGGACTTGGAGAGGGTAACATTGTGTTTATCCTTCTTCCCAATTAGCGGAGATGCTCTACATGTTTGATGTAATTTCTATTAGGTATATCTCAGTAGGTTGCGTCGACAACACTCGATAAATGCTCTGGATAGCACTCATTAGATTGCTTCAACAAATGTTGTATGTTGCTATCTACGCAACATGTTTCATCTAAAGACAACAAGTCTATCAAGTGTTCGACAAAGAAAGAGAAAGATGGAGAGGCCTTGGTTATTTTCAGTTTGAAAATTTTATTTATTAAAATAATTTATGTTGAGTTTATTTTATTTTCCATGTCACTACCACGTCATTTATGAGCACAATTATTTTAATTTTTAATTAGGACTTTAGATATAATTATATCAAGAGTTAGTTAAGAGTGTAAAAAGTGTTTGTCAAAACATTTTTCCCGATCCTAACCCATGCATTGAGTGCTTAATGATATCTCATAGTAAATGTAGAGAGATATAGAGAGACTCAAATAGTTCCATGCACCTTCACGGATGAAATGACAGTCTTTAAGTATGACTCACACCACTACATGATATTAACAACTCACTTGTATTATTCTACTTATAACGATTCACTTGTATTCATGCATTAGTAAAATGACGTGCTGATTTGGCCATTGCACCGAAAAATTTCTCGATGTGGACCCCAGCCAATTATTAGAATCATGTAAAGCTCAAGCGTGGCATGGTCTTTGGTTAACCGAAATATGAAGTCGTTGCCACTGTGTATCTGAAAAATGAATGAATCAGTTCAGGACACATATGGCTGGAAATTAATGATGAAGCTTGTGACGATGGTAGGCCATGGAATACCACGTTCTTTGGTCTGGCATTTGTATCTTTTATGCCAAATACTTGCTAGCCAGTAAAAACCATGAAACTGAGTACTTTAAGTGATGAACTGTAACTAGTTTTTTTTCCTTTTCACGTTAAGTTACTTTTGTTACACAATTTATGTAGAACATGTGTTCTTACATGTAGAGTTTGGATACACACCAAACTGGGTAGAAGTAAATTGCTCCTTACAGACAATCTTGGCCACTTTAGGAATGTTGCATTTTCAAACCTCACAGACTTTAAATTAATCTGCTTCAGTTAAAAGTAGATGCGGATTACGCTAGTTGGGTACTGCAGTGTGTTCGACTCTTTGTATTCAAGCTCGAATTTTCCATTCCAATAAATTTCTTTAATTTAGAACATTGTGCTTTAATAGAAAATAATGGGGATTGGGCACATTTACTTTTCACATGCCACTTGCTGAAATGATTTGAGTTAGTATATATCGTGGATATTTGATCATTGTGTCGTCAATTATTGACAGCTACCTTGTTGGTATCCAATAGTTAAATCACTGATATTTAATTTTAATCAATTCAACAATTAAGATTTAATTTTCGATCATTTCAACTGATGTCCTCAAAAGTAACTGACTTTATGGAAACCAAGTTAGGAATTAATGTAGGAATTGTGGTGGCAGGTATTACAACCAAAATAGAGACATTAACTTCCCAACTGCTTTAGAAGTTTCTTTCATAAGATTCATAAATATATGGTGTTGGGTACGTTTACTCTTCTAAGTGACTTGTTGACCAGGGAACAAAAATTAGCCTCAAAATCTATCTATCTTTTTGTGTTTTAGCCTCAAACATGTTGTCCAGGTTAGCCAATCTAAGTAGATAAAATAAAATCTTATATATTGCACTAAATTTTCACTTAGACAAGCAGTTAAAACTCAAAGGCCCATCGAATTCCACTCAAAAATTGCTCAAACTCTTCATAGTAGCAACGACAGAATGCTACCAAAAGGATAAAAATAAACATTCCAAAATCTATAAAATGTGCAGTATAATTAAGGTTCACATTTCACGCATTAACGTGGGGTTTCAATCTACTGAAGAATTCAACTCGGATTCAGTCAGCCTTATTCGCCGTGGATGCAGATTACCTGTGCTAATACTTATCAATCTGCAGCAGATTATCTGTGGCTTCCTCTTTCGAGGGATCAGATGTACGATACCTATGGCGTTGAGATGATAAAAGCCAGCATTGTACTGTGAACTGTAGAAATCTGTGGCTTTTGTCGATTTTTCTAGAGATTACATAGTAATTAAGCTGAGATGAGATAATTATAGTCCTCTCCTCCCTTGATTAGGAACTTATATATGTCCTAAATGTTGATTGAAATGGCTTAAATTTACAACCAGTAGCATTGCGTGCAGGGAAATATATGTTAAATTTGAAGAGGTGGATCAGTTCATGGTGATTAGGATAAAGTCTCAGGCTCTTAAAAAAGAAAACCCTAGAAATATTACAAGCTGCAGCCAGCAGTGGAAGAGAAGAGACACAATTCGATGATTATATAGAAAAATATCCTACTTAAAAAAACCAAGAAATTATATGGAACCAAATGGCATCAAGGCCATACATATATATATAGCAGGCCCGGTGGAAATTAATATAATTAAGTGAAAGAACATACATTTAATTACCATCATACATAATTTAATAAACTGATTAAGATCGAAATGCATGGCATCACAATTCACAAGTAGACGCATCTCATAGCTTGTAAATCTTGGAAAGCGCTTGCAAAACATTAACCTGCAACCTCAGCTGGAGTATATAATCTGCGGTCTGAAGAAAAAGCCGGTCCGCCTTCAACCCTCTCCCTCCTGGAATCAACATTTGCAGCTTCTTCACCTTCACCTGCACCGTCGACCTGCCTCCTCCACTGCGGCCTCTCGCCACCTGCCTGAGCCTCTGCCTCCTCCTCATCTTCATCGTCTTCATCTTAGATGAAAAAGAAGAAGAAGAAGAATAGCCTCTCAGGCCATGAAAATTATTCAAAGAATAATTTTTCATATTATACGGTGTTTTCCAAGGTTTGCTAGCTAGTACAAATAATGTAACACAAAGGCAAAGGCAGTACAAAAATTGCCAAAAAACCAGAGAAAGAATGATTTGTTGAAAGTTTGGTTCTAAAATTGAGAGAGATGATGAATGGTGGGAGGGCTAGGCTAATGCAGTGCTCTATAAATGAAGGCAAAACTACTAAACAGGACGACGGGCCATGTGAGCCGAGCCATTCATGTTTGTGTTTGTAATTTGGCTTTTTGGACTTGTATGGGCTGGGGACACTCTTGAATTTTCTCTCACGAGCACAATTTTGATGTCGTTTTTGCATATGGGGCATCCCCTATGGACCCCTTTAGCCTTCACCTTCAAAAAGACTCATGCACGTGTTTGCCAACTCTCTACGTTTTGAGTATGATTGTTACACCGCTACGTGTGAATTATATATATACAAGGATTTTTATAGTGGTTTATATTCTACTTTTAATTGCATCAAGAATATCTGTTAAAAAACCTTGCACATATATACATTGAGGTTTTTTGTACTGATGCCTCACACCTAGTGTAATATTGCAAATGTAGTTAAGTTAAGAACAATATAAATGTGATTAGTAGGGAGTTTTTTATTTGTCTTTTAAAATTTTGACATCATGTAGTATTAGTTATCTACTCAGGACTCAAGTGGATTGATTTATTAAGAGAATCGTGAATCTTGAGACTCCAAAAATTTTTTTTGCGACTCATCAAGGAAGAATGTATGATGTTTTTAATACTCTAGATTAAAATTTTTGTTAGGTTAATATATAACATATGAGTAATGTTAGGTAGACCAAAAGTTTAAATTAAATTTTATAAATTATGTGATGTGTCACTAATAAGAAATAAACACATTAATCAACAATTAAGTAATAATTCAATCACCTACAACCACGATATATAATTTAAAAAATTAGTATCCTTAACATTCTCCGTAACATATAAGATTTAGGTTAGCATGAGTCACATAATTCCATGTAATTAGTGATACGAGGGATTTCTCTCTCACCACACTCCAGTAGGGTATTAAACTTGTATCCAGGAGGATCCTAGCCGGATCCTTCAATTACATCCGTTCATCGTACATCGTGCGGTCAGAAATCATTATAATTTTTTTATTTAAAATTGAATATAAACAGTACCTAACAAAACTGGCCATATGATGTACGATGAACAAATATAATTAAAAGATCTTCAGAATCTCCACAAAGAGGATCCGTCAAGGATCCTCTCTCAACCATGGATTTAAATATCGATATTATCGACGAAATATCGCCGATAATATCGATTTTTCGGGTAATGGATATTTAAACTGGTTTCCGTGTAGTTTTCGTCCAAATATCGCGATATTATCGATATTATCGATAATATCGCGATATTTTGGAAATATCGAGAAATTTCGTTGAACGGTGCAATCGGATTCCGATATCGGACGCCGGAGAAGAACACCGGAGATGGTGTGCCTGTTCCCGAGCCCATTTCGTCCCAAAAACCTTGCAAAAACACGAATTTTAACTTAAATTTCACATATATACTCCAAATTTCACGCATGCATCAACGATTCAACATATGTGATATTGGTTTAGGGCTTAGGGTTTCAATGGAATCTCACCTGAAATATCGATGACTGGGCCAACTCCTTGCTCAGCGGCGCACCACCAGAGACGACTGAGGGAGAAGAAGAAGGATGGAGAGACTGAGGGAGAAGGATGGACGGAGAGACTAAGGGAGAAGGATCGAGATCGAGGCTGAGGGAGAAGGATAGACGGACGGAGAGACTGAGGGAGAGAAAGGATCGAGATCGAGGCTGAGGGAGAAGGATGGACGGACGACGGAGAGACTGAGGGAGAGAAGGAGAGACTGCGTGTGTTGGTGTGTGCGTGTGTGGTCTGCGTGTGTGGTGTGTGTGCGTGTGTGGTCTGTGCGTGTTTTTTGCAGAGAAGAAGAGACTGAGGGAGAGAAGCAGAGAAAGGGAGAGCCTGGGAAAGTGGAGAGAAAGAGAGGACTGAGAGAGAAGATAGATGTGAAGGATGGGGAATCGGGATGGAGGGGAGGTCACACCACACAGCGTGGTGCTGAAATGGGGAAGCATGCTGCACCTTTTCAAAGTTTCAATTTCAACCACACACCCAACCATGATTTTTACTTTTAATTTTAAAAAGTTAAATATAACCATTCAAAATATCTTAAGTTATATGACTTAATGTATTTTTAAATTTTAGATTGGTTGGATATTCTTTTTACATTTTATCATTCGATTTATTTGTGGGCTAACGAGGGAAACCAAACTAGCACATATGAACAATAATTAGTAATTTATTTAGAGTTTTAATACTCACATCCTTATTAAACTCCTAATTAATTTTCAATTCAAACATTTCAAATATATAAAAAAATAAAATAAGAATAAGTTTGTACCCATTAATTTTTATAAAAAAAAATTGATATGTACCCGTTATAAGAATAAGTCACTCATGTATCTTACCATGCAATATATAAAGTGTAAAATATTGTACTAATTCATTATATATAAATGATTATGGTATGTTTAAACTTCTTTCATTAATTACTACATATATAAATGATTAATTACTACATATTTTCTACACTCACAATGTTTGTCAGCTCGCTATATAATCAACTTGATAATGTTAAATCCATCATGCAATGCATTTCCTTCCAATTTTTTGTGATAAACTAATAGATAATTGACTAAATAAACATCCTGCAAAGTTTCAATAAAAATTTCCAAGTTTTTCTTACAATTTCCGTGGTTTCCATGTAATTTTTATCGATATCGATATTTTATCGATATTTCCGTCGATATTTCCGTGTTTTCGGAGTACCGATATTTTCGATATTACCGATATTTAATACCTTGCTCTCAACTTGTATTACCACATCTGTCCTCGTAATCCCTGAATCCCGGCAGTTGCCGTCCTCACACGTGTGCAGATGTGATTCTCCACGTCATCCTTTCCTCAAACTCATATCTCGCGGCTCATAATCCATCACACACTTTATGACACCACTGTAGGAGTTTATCATTTAGTGTGTTATCCATCCTACGCACGAGTGATCAAATATTAGGAGGATATAGGCGCATAACTTGCGAGATTTACAACCGTTGGATTAATTTGGTGATACATTATATTCTTGTACAATATTTGCTTTAAGGAAAGTAAATTAATTAACTAATTTGTGCCATATTGTGTTGTGTTGTCTGGCGAAATTTGAATTAAAAGGTAACCAATTTGGATGGATAATTGTATAAAGTGGGTTTTGTAACGTGGTTGGACCCAATAGGGCATGTTACCTCCTCATTGTGTTCATATATCCATCTTCTTTTCCAAATAGACTATGGTAGATGAGGGAACATGTGTTATGTGATCAACCATATTTTTCTTATTCAGGTAAATGATGATTATAATTAGCTGTATGTATGAATGGAAGGAAGGAAGTATGGGCACCATTTTTGCCAACTTGTCCAATGTTCTTGATGATGAATAATTTTAGCAAACAATACTTAATGTTTTAGACATATCAATTTTAGTATCGCATGGTCTGAAAAGTCGTGGTTTGTACATTATCTTATCAAATCTTAATGTATGTATACATATATTATTTATATACATATATCACTTGCTTCATTGCATGATGTTGATGCACAAAATCAGCGAGGACTTTGGTACAACAGAAAGTGTCAGGTTTTGTGACCTTCGCTTGGTTGCTTCGGTCACTAGTGAGGATAAGTACGTAAATGAATAGAGACAGAGAAGCAAACACAGGATGTACGTGGTTCACCCAGATTGGCTACGTCCACGGAGTAGAGGAGTTCTTATTAGTAGTGAAGGGCTTACACAAGTACAAAGGATCAAGCTCTCAATTTAGTGAGTTCTTGTGAATGATTTAACACAAAATGGCATTAGGCAATATTGTGGGGGAATGACCCCTATTTATAGAAAAACTTGTAGCTTTGTCACATTGACATGTGTCATGTTATGATTGGTTCTTGATGTCGACACGTGCTGCGCTCTGATTGGCTTCTAATCTTGACACGTGTCGAGTAGTGATTGGCCTCCTGGTCGGAGGGGAACTCTTCTGGGTCCTTGACAGTATAGCGTTGGCCGGTGCTCGGTAGTTTCGGGATTGGTCAAGTATGGTACAAACAGTGCTCCCCTAAGTTCCCGAGTGAGGGAAACTCCTCGGTTGGGGACTTGCAAGATCCAATCCCTTGAGTAATCACGAAACTTCTAAGTACCGAAGTGTGGTCTGATCTTCATCTGCCCTTCTCTGGAAGTACCTTTCCTCCATCCGGGAATGGTGTATTTAGCTGATGTTGACGCACAAGGTAATGTATCAATTTCACTTGAAGCTTACTTGTAGTTTCGGGCTTGGTCAAGTGCGATACAAACCCTATAGTAGGAGTCCCCCAAGTCGCCGAGCTAGGAGATCTGCCGAAAGAGGTGACAGACAAGGTAAGCAGTCAAACTTCCAAGTAAGCAACCCAGGATCAGAGGTTTGACTTCGGCTTCCGGTTGATTGTTCTCCTTCTCCTTGTCTCTCATTCAACTGCCAGGATAAGGAGAAGCAAATGGATAAGAGATGATATGAGATACTTTTGCTTTTGAAGAAGTAACTTTCCACAGGCTTATTCTTGAACTGTGCTGGAGGGTTTTCTGGTGCCCTTCAGAGTATAAGGCCGACTCAAAAATTTGAGGGTCAAAACAAGTCCATCAAATCTAGAGTACGTTCGACCTTGATGATATGGGATACTTTTGCTGTTGACGGAATAATGAATGTGGTATGGAAAGGTGTCGTGCTGTAGTGATCTGTTTCAGCTCACCGTTGAACCTTCTGCTTCAATCTTTTGCATGGCAGAAGTGGTGTGCAACCTTTGCATTTAAATGGTCCTTCAGAACATTCCTTCATAGTGACTCATCCACGCTTGGCAGCTTCAGTGTAAAGAGCCAATATCTGATCAACTGTCATGAGGTATTTGCCGGTGGAATTCGTGACCTTGACAGCAGTTGAGGATGAGTACTCGAGAGCAATGCTAAGTAAGCAACCAGGCAAAGGCTCCAGGCAGTCAGTTCCAAATTGGAGGTTTGATTTCAGGTTCCGACTGACTGCTCTCTTTTCTCCTTGTCCTGCAGGTGTGGACAAGGACAAAGACAAAGACAGGGAGAAAGCATGATATGGGATACTCTTGCTTTCGACCCTGATGATATGAGATACTCTTGTTCTTGGTGTGGCTTATTTGCTGAGGTATTATCGGGGGGAAATAAAGCTGAGTATTTCGAGAGGTTATGTTGAGGGTGCCTTTTCGAATGCGAGAAAGGGTTGAGCATTTTTGCAGGTTTGCCTGTCCGTTGAGGAGGGAGGTCAATGTATATAGGGATTTCCCAATAACAAGTAGTAATGCTATTCCTTTACCCTTCTTGGTCACAGCAATGTAGTGGGAGCTGCCAGCTTCACGTGTTTTAATTTTGTCAGAGCACTTTGAAAAAGTGGTATGTGGTATCTGGAAAGCTGATATTACGTGTGAAGATTACAGACAAGCTTTATCTAAGGAAATCTGGCTCTCGAAGTTCTGAGAGTTGTGCCTCTTCGGTTTTCGAACAAGCAATCCCGTCGAGGATCTGACTCTCGAGATTCGGAAAGCGGTGCTACTCCGGTTTTTGAGAAAGTAATTATGTTGGGAGTCTTTTCTCGAATGTGAGTAAAGGTTGGACGTTCTTGCCAACCTGTCTTGCCGCAAAAAACACGGAGGTCGACACACATAGGGACTTTCCAGTTGTCAAGCAGTGGTGCTGTTCCTTTACCCTTATGGGTAATAGTAGGGTAGCTGGAACTTCGAAATTCTCGTGCCTAAACTTTGTCAGAGATCTTTGACAAAGTTATATGTGGTACCCGAGGAGTTGATGGTGCATATGGAGAGCGGTGATTGAACAGTAAGATTCACGTGCTTTCTACTTCACCAGAAATCTTCGACAGATTGCCCGTAATTTCCGCAAAGCTGATTGTGCATGTGACAGGTGCTGACGAGGCTGAAAAAGCAGGTGCTTCTTCGATTTCTGAGATCGGCCCTCGTGGTCTCTGAGCAGCCCAGCTTTTGAGAAAGCAAACGCCTCTTCGATTTCTGAGATCGGCCCTCGTGGTCTCTGAGCAGCCCAGCTTTTGAGAAAGCAAACGCCTCTTCGATTTCTGAAGCTCCGTCGAGTGCAGATTTTTATAGAGGCTGGCATTAAGTTCCACAGCACACTTGAATCTCTACCAGTAGAAAGCTCATTTCTTGCACTTCTAAGATCTTGATTTGTCTGACCTCTTCCTTCTTCAACACATTTGAAAATGTCTGGACCCTCCGACCGTCGTTTTGACTTGAACCTTGGAGAAGAGACAGCCACGCCTTCTCCAGACAACATATGGCGCCCATCCTTCATATCCCCTACTGGTCCTCTTACCGTTGGGGATTCTGTGATGAAGAATGATATGACCGCTGCAGTGGTGGCCAGGAACCTTCTCACTCCCAAAGATAACAGACTACTTTCCAAACGGTCTGATGAGTTGGCTGTTAAGGACTCTCTGGCTCTTAGTGTTCAGTGTGCAGGTTCTGTGTCTAATATGGCCCAACGCCTATTTGCTAGAACCCGCCAAGTTGAATCATTGGCTGCTGAAGTGATGAGTCTCAAACAGGAGATTAGAGGGCTCAAGCATGAGAATAAGCAGTTGCACCGGCTCGCCCATGACTATGCTACAAACATGAAGAGGAAGCTTGACCAGATGAAGGAATCTGATGGTAAGGTTTTACTTGATC